AGACGTATTTTTTTAGTCCCGTGCCAGGGGCTGGTTGTTACACTATAAGGGGCAAAATGTTACAATAAAAAACAAACGTAATATGACACTTTTTATTAAGAACAATGTCAGTTTATTACAATTATTATGTCTACAATGTCAAATTACAATGTCTGTATAGCAGTCTTTTGCCTCATTAAAACAAAAGCATAGTAACTTCGTTGAATAAAATTATAATCTTATTTTTTGGTCTTACGCCTTATAAAAATAAAATTTAAGTAACTTCCAACCCGGTAGAAAATTAAAAATTTCTTTATTAAACAAAAACTTAGTATGAATTAACAAAACGTATATTATGCCTCATCACATGAACAAAAAATAAATAAAATCTCTCCTTAAAAAACAATCAGATCCTAAAAGCTAAAAAACAGTTCAATCACTATAGTCTGAACTATCACTTTCGCAATTCAGACATGTGTAGGATAAAACATGTCCCTTAGCACATCTTACGTCTGTTCATTTCTTAATGCAACACACTGTACCCATTCCTCACCAGCTCGACTCTGATCAAACGGTTCATAATATATCAAGCAAAAATAATCATCTATACTTCCTTCGTCAGACTCAGAGTCATGTAGTAAAACGTTCCATTTCCCAGCCTTCTTCCTTGTTTCCTTAGGTGTTTTTTCCCTCTTCATCTTTCCTGGCTCAGTTGACTTCCCTTTCTTAGTTACCTTTCCTTTTTTTTGATGTAATTTCCTTTTTCTTGCTCTGTTCCTGTGCAGTAGTACGGAGCAAGTAGTAACAAATAACAAGTTGCCCCGTGAAAATGGCACTTTTAGCCCCAACGCCAAAACTGACCTTTCAAGGTTAAGTAGTAAAACCACAAATAAGTATAACTGTATAAACGTCGATTCGTTGCAAAAAGTAAGGATTAGGGTACAAATATAACAACACACATATATCTGCTTTAAAGGAAAATAGGTTGTAGACCAATATTAGGAAAAAACGAAAATGTTACTAACCTGCGGTTTTGATGGCAATTTGTAAGGGCTCCTTCCACAAAAGCGCTAGTACCACTAGTTCGCGAGACGTGCTAACCGGTGATTGAATAATCATTTGTGTCTTTCTTACGTCAAAATAGTGTTATTTGTTTAGCCATCGTAGCCGCTGTAACTACCTACCCCTGTCATGACCAGTCCCGGTCTCCCCTACACCTTGTATATGGGATTTGTCCTTAAAGTAATGAGACTAAGTATGACTTGGCATGTTCCTAACCAAAATGCTTGCCATGTACTCATTTAACAAAAGATAGGATGATGTTTGTCCTAGTTCTAACTGGTTATTTATAGTTAATATTTATATCTTTTCTGATTTCTAGCTAATTTTTTGCTTTTAAGTAGTAGTACATTTAGAAATCGATGTTTTAAGCAATTTAGGTTAAAAGTGACGTCTTGATGCGAATGGTGTTTTAAACTACATTTCAGGAAGTTTAAATCCTTTGTGTATTCAAGAAACATTAGCTATTGAGATGGATACGTCTATCTGGAATCCGTTTACTAATGGTTTGATGGAAACATAGATCGGAGGAATCCCTTGTGAATTTGCAAAGTTTCCTCCTGATCTACAGTAGAGTAGGTATATTTGAAACAAAGAAAATCAGGTATTCAACTGAATCTACTGTAGGAATTTTACTAAATGTAGTAATAACTTTGAATAATTATTACTTAACTACTTAATGTACATAAGTACGTAAACCATGGAGTGGATTTACCGAAAATTTATCGCAAAGTCATTAGTCCAGAGATCTCAATTTCATTCCTATCTAGATCCAATTTTTGGATTTCTCGAGGTCCCGAAGTATTTGAGAACAATAATTTGATCAAGTACCTTCTATTTTCTTCTCCATATATACTTTTGTTTGTGCTTGTAATGTCGATATTAACCATTACAGAGTACAAAAATGTTTTCTTAATAATATTGAATACAAACTTATTTAATTTTATTTAAAAGGCGGTGAATATTTTATTGTCATTGCCAAGAAGTTAAGTTTGCATGGAAGAAATTCATTACTAAACAGCTCCCAAAGGAATTTTATTCGACTTCCGAAATATTTAATATTTTGCATCCACGATAATTGTCGAAAATTCACACGCGTTAGAGCCGTCGCGTTCTCTCACTTATCCGTTCTCAGCGGGAAGTTTGATGCCATTAATTATTTCTAAACTTTCCTCCAGCGGGAAACTGGTACCTACTGCAAAATTTGTAGTGTAAGGGGATCAGGCCTAAGCAGTTAACGGGGCTTTCTAAAGCCACAAAGTTTTCCCCTTTGTACTTTAATAGTGTTTTGCTAATCGATTTTTGCACACACGTACGCCTTGTTATATTTTGCCAGCATTTAACACGTTTGATAAAATTAAATCTTCTTCAAATGTTGCTCTATTACACAAAGTTAAATCTAAAATACGTTGCGGTTTTTGCAACATGCATATTATTATGCATCAAGTGGATTAATTTAATCCTAATATGACACAGGCGATTAATTTGTTCCATAGACAATTAGTAATAAGTTAATAACTGAATATAGGGACGTCTTATTACATGCAATAATTTCTTATGACGTTGTCACGTTCGACTATCGTCAGTAAACCCACTTTACAGTGAACCGATTTTTTTCCTTCTCAGGCATGAAGGTCTAGTCAGAGACATATTAGAGGCAGAAACAGGAGTTAGGAGGGGTAGAGGTAGACCTAGATTAGATTACTGTTCGAAATACTTCAGGACGGTGGGCTGTTCTAGTTTTAGGGAAATGCGAAGTTTAGCTCAGGATAGGAAAGAGTGGAGGTACGTGTCCAACCAG